ATCCTTGATCATTTATGAAATAAGTCTGTGTACTTCCAGTACTCCTGCCAACTCTGTTTTATCTCTTCCAACAACATACGTTCCAGTCGACTTCATGTCTGTGGCCTTCTCCTCCCCACTGCCCCCTGGTGTCCACCAAAGACACTCCATTCACTTGACTGAATTTGAGACTCAACAGAGAGGGAGAAACCAAATGAGACACACAGACAATGATACAGAGTGAGAGCGTGAGCAAAAATGGGAGAAAAGTGGAGAAAAGCGCAGCTGGGCAGTGCGTTACAACATAAATGGAGCTTCCTTTATAAAGAACGCTTGTAAGAGGCAGTAGTTGGTGAATGTTAGTTTTAGGAAAACATAATCTACTACAAGCGAGCCACCATTTTTTTGGTTAGCAGATTCTCTCTCCGCAGCAGAGAAAAGAGAGGGAGAGGACGTCAGTCAGTCCTGATGCCCCTGCAGGACCTGCACTATGGGACTTATAGCACTGGAGTAGCTTAAGCTCTCCCTTGTACTTTCTTTTGTTTTCACTATATTAATTGTTTGATTTACATAATTTTCCCTTTTTGGTAGTGAGAAAAGGCTTGTACTTGAAGCTCATTCAAGTACACAAGAATATGAATGTAATTTAGTCATGAGGTTAAAAATAAAGACAATATGGTAGATAATTTCTGTACGCTGACTTGAAAAATAACAAGTAATATTGAACCGCTATGAGGTATTCATATATAAATATATATATACAGTAGTCTTAGGGACATGCCAAGGAAGTTGGATTCAATATAACCACAACGCATGAGCAACAATTGCTTCTTCAGTATCTTCAGGTGTTGTCACAAAACTAAATTTTCCTCCATACGTGGTTCTTCATTTTCACCTGCTTTTTTTCTCTTGAGGCATGTCCTCACAAATCTTTTTGGTCCTTCTTTTCTTAACCCTTCAGTATCAAAATTTCAAATCTAAAACCAAAAAGAGAAACTCCTATGTTGCCTTATTTCTGTTTCCCAAGCATTAAGAAAGCTTTTCAAATACCATCCATACATCTCCAACTCTTTTTCATTCCAACACCCTCTCCCTGTCTATTCTCCATATTTTACCTTCTCCCTTTGAAGTAAGTGTGAAACTGTGCAATGTAGCCGCAGCACTGTTCATTTCCTGAGGGTAAAACACAACGCAATGAACGGTTGTGGATCATGTAGCTTCACTCGGGTATGAGTACAAGCCTTTTGTTTGCATTGTAAAAGTGTGCATGTGTGAGAGAGAAAGGGTGTGTGGTGGTAAAGGAAAAGGAAACCAAAACAAGGTCTATCTCCCTAGATAGCTACCAACAAACTTGTGTTTGATTTTGGACCTCTTATTTTTGCTCTATTTCCTCCACCATGACAACATTTTTACATGAATTCTAGAAATGTATAAATGATTGAATTGCGTCAACCACTTGTACCAGTGATTGGTAAAAAAGTAAATGTTAAATTTGTGTAAACAAATGTAAAAAAAAAAAAAAGTAACAATCATATGTTGCTGAGAGGTTCACATAAAAAAACTGACAATTATTTTCAGAGAACTAATAACATTGGCGTTGTAATTTTTTTTTCTGTTTCCATTGACTATTTAAGCCTGACTGGGTTTAAATATTGGCCCAAATATCAATTGCTGAATTCTGAATCAGTAACTGGTTTAAAATGACTAAATCTAAAATTCTGATGTTTACATACAAGATGCCTTTGCATTTTTTATTTAAATAAGCTAATAAGAATATGCACATAATCTGAACGCACCTTACAAAGAAAAAAATGTCATACCATTTTCTATAAAACATTTTATTTAAGTACTGCTTTGAGGAACAACATAATGAGTTACGTTCTCATGTTTTCTGTTTCATCCATCAGCAGACATTCAATGAAGTTAAGTGGATAGTATGCTTCAAAGAGGTCACTTGTGACTGTGTGGGCTACTACTACTATTACTAGTCCTACTTTGGGAAACAAATATAGGCTATTTATCAGTCAGCATCTGGAAAGACTACTGAATATTTGCACAGACTTAAAAAAAAAAAAAAAGACTTAAAAATATTTTAGAAATTAAGCTTTTTGGGGATATATGTGGTGAAATAATCCCAGATCTTTCCAGTACGTTTGGTTTTGAACAATACATGAACTACAATAAAATTAGCATCATTTTGGTCCACCCAGAACAAGGACCCTTTGGAGGTTTCAATTGTCAATCAAAGTGACTAAAATCTACCAGCTGCATATGTTCTGCACTTGGTCATAGTTGTAGGCATGTGACTAAATTGTCTGGTATTTTGTGACAATGTTATATTGTGCCATTGTTTTAGAGGTCCACATTATATTTGGGCAGTTTCAAAGAAGTGAAATGTTTAAAACTTTATTTGTGTCTTGTTGACTTTGTGACCATTTAATACAAAGGTTTGTTGGCACACATTGCCGATTCAAGTGTACAATCAACAGTTAATTTCTTTGCTCCTGTTCTCTTTACTCCCTCTGTCCACGCTACAACCATACAAATAAAGTATTAACCTGATGACGTGCAAAATATCTTTGAATTCATCATTAATATGCAGTGTTGGCACAGTTTTGACAACATTCAAAACAGAATGTGTTTAAATGTTTAAAGCAAAATAACTAGATTTTTTACACTGACTGTCAGAAAAAATTCTACCCTTTGAGGTGCAACAGCTTGTCACTGGAGCAGTATCCTCAAGGTACACTTTCATATCTTATCTACCTCTCTGATAGTGGATATTAGTATGTTGAACAACATAATGAGTTACGTTCTCATGTTTTCTGTTTCATCCATCAGCAGACATTCAATGAAGTTAAGTGGATAGTATGCTTCAAAGAGGTCACTTGTGACTGTGTGGGCTACTACTACTATTACTAGTCCTACTTTGGGAAACAAATATAGGCTATTTATCAGTCAGCATCTGGAAAGACTACTGAATATTTGCACAGACTTAAAAAAAAAAAAAAAGACTTAAAAATATTTTAGAAATTAAGCTTTTTGGGGATATATGTGGTGAAATAATCCCAGATCTTTCCAGTACGTTTGGTTTTGAACAATACATGAACTACAATAAAATTAGCATAATTTTGGTCCACCCAGAACAAGGACCCTTTGGAGGTTTCAATTGTCAATCAAAGTGACTAAAATCTACCAGCTGCATATGTTCTGCACTTGGTCATAGTTGTAGGCATGTGACTAAATTGTCTGGTATTTTGTGACAATGTTATATTGTGCCATTGTTTTAGAGGTCCACATTATATTTGGGCAGTTTCAAAGAAGTGAAATGTTTAAAACTTTATTTGTGTCTTGTTGACTTTGTGACCATTTAATACAAAGGTTTGTTGGCACACATTGCCGATTCAAGTCTACAATCAACAGTTAATTTCTTTGCTCCTGTTCTCTTTACTCCCTCTGTCCACGCTACAACCATACAAATAAAGTATTAACCTGATGACGTGCAAAATATCTTTGAATTCATCATTAATATGCAGTGTTGGCACAGTTTTGACAACATTCAAAACAGAATGTGTTTAAATGTTTAAAGCAAAATAACTAGATTTTTTACACTGACTGTCAGAAAAAATTCTACCCTTTGAGGTGCAACAGCTTGTCACTGGAGCAGTATCCTCAAGGTACACTTTCATATCTTATCTACCTCTCTGATAGTGGATATTAGTATGTTATTAGTAAGGGTGCACATTAGTACCCTTGAGCTACTAATATGTGCCATTTATGAGTAAGCACTGCCCCACTGACAAGCTAAAGGTATAATTTTAGTACATTATTTCTGACACTGGGATCATTTACAGATTGTTGGATGTATGGCCAGGTTTTCCAGCTCTTTGGCACTGGCCATGGAATTTGAAAAGTCAACCAAGGGTCACATAAACAATGATGTGCACCTATCAAATAATTAAAGAAATGGTGGAACTTTTCAGAAACTAATTTGACCACTGTTCATAGCAATTGTTAGCTATAGTCTGAAATATACCAAACAACACTGGTACTTCTATTTCAGCATTCCAAGTACAAAACAAAAAAAGACCTAGTCATACATCAAGGTTTCAAACATTGGACGAATGGGCGAACAAACATCAGTTACCTTTCAAAGTTCATTTGTTATGTAACCGGACTGGCTGCCAGTTTGAAGAACTGAAGAAAATTGTTTTGAAGAAAATTCAGAACAATTTGCATATACATTTTGTTAAACCTTATATAGAAATTATATTTTTTCCTATGATTTTTATTTAAATTTTACAATAAAAGAGAGAGTGCAGCCACAAGGACTACTCTAAAACTCATATTGCATTAAGCTATGCCTTTAAGAATGTTCCACATTTGCCACTCAAAATCCTTTTTACTAATCTAAGAAATTACAGTATCCATTTAATCAAGAGTCAATACATTTACAGAAGGTAGTTTATGCCATAAAATGATAGTGTTTAACTTTTGATTGTTCTAACCATTCTGATGACAAAAGTCAGAAATGTAACAGAAGTCAGAAATGTATATTTATCTTATCCATCCCTAAAGGCTAGCCTATATTAGTTTTTCGTTGTACTAAACGGACACATGGTGTCCCTAAAGGTACAATTTTGGCTTTTTTTTCTAACAGTGTACTCTACAACCATTCAGTCATTCATTTTTTTCAGTTTGTTCCCAACTTTCACCACTTCATGTTTTGTATTTGAATTAAACACCATAGCACAAACATAAAATTGAATGCCAATTATGCTAGTGTGATAGTACACTGGTAAAAAAGAATCACCATGTTATCAGCATACAAAAGACTCAAACAAACAAGATCAATATTTTCCGGTGCTGTGATGTGTGCTAGACTGGAGTTTACTCACTTCTCAGAGAAAGAGAGAGAGGTAGTCTGATGGCAGTAGGCTAAACCAAAGTCATCTAGCTTATGTTCTGATTCCATTCCCTCTTGTTTCTACTCATGTTCTAAGCTCTGGAGTTAAAACAGAATGAACTATCTAAAGGAAGTGGTCATACTACTATTAGGCCCGTACCTGATTCTGCTGTGCAGGAGAGTGTCAGGTGATCAGGTGAGTATGAGATCTCGAAATGAAAAGAAAAATGTATTTTTTAACTAGAGTTTCACAAGTCATAAGAGATAGATACTCACAAAGGCCTTTTGTTTTTTACTAGGCAATTATGTTGAGAAACTAGTGCTTGTTAAATATAATATGCAAGCGTAAAACTGCAGAAGCAATTGTTACCATGCAACTGAATCAACAGAAATTAAAAGGTAAAGGCTAAAGTTGACAGCACAGATATGAATGAAGATTCTGTGTACTGAGGCTTGCTTGCTTGATCCACTTCACCTACTTTACACTTAAAAATGACTTCTTGTAATATTAGGAAAAAAATGATTTATTTGAATAAGCATAATTTCGAAGTATGAAATGAGTTCATATAATGCCAAAGAAGATTTACTTGCTTTGCCTTTTAAAAGACTGTATTGCCCCCTCTTTTTAACATCTTGTGAAACTCCAGCTGCAAAAAGACTTTTCTTTAAATTAAATTCAACATTTGTAAGGTAATTTGGATAAAATGTAAGGTAATATATTATGTAATAGAAATATTAAAGCTAAAATTCTTCAAGCCAATTTCATTGGTTAGATATTTAAAGGGGTCATATGATGTTGCTAAAAAGAACATTATTTTGAGTATTTGGTGTAATGAAATGTGTTTATGCGGTTTAAGGTTAAAAAAACACATTATTTTCCACATACTGTACGAGAACGGTACGGCTGGTGGGCTTTCGGCAACCACATGGGACGACACCGGGCTGGACTCCGCTTTGTCCACGGTGAAAGACGATTTCCTCAGCGACCAGCACGGATCAGCTCTAGGCATGACGAAGTATATACATATCTAAAAAAAGAAAAAAAAGAGATGTTTTTTAACATTCTTTGTTGGTTTTGGACAGCTGGAGTTGCGCAATGAGGGCAAATTTGTGGTGCTAGAGGTAAACAACAAGGTAGAGCTTGTAGTCGGCCTCCATTCTAAACTGGTGGAAGATGACCTAACAGGAAAGATACGTCTTGCTCTTGGTGGCATGCTGGTGGACAAACAAAAGCTCTTCCATCCAGTACGTTTACTTGTATTTTCCATTCATATGAAAAATAATTAATAATTATTATCACTGATAGCATTGACTGGCCACATTAAATATCCTTTCCTTTATTTTATTTCTCAGTTTGAGCCAGAAATAGATGCTTGTATAAGAGGAGGGCATTGGTTAAATCTCAGCACTACCTGGGATACAGACTCAACATGGGAACCCCGGCCCTGCTTCTCCGAGATCAAGAAAGGAAGCTATTTTCCAGGAACTGGAGTGGCTATGTTTAATACATCTGGTGAGTGAAAAATCATGCATGTTTAAACTCACATTGCAGATTGGATGACATTATCCTTCCATGTACATATCATGACAGATCTTCCTGGACTTAAGACAGAAGAGGCCGGTATTACAGTGGAGATCTTCGGATCCTGGACTGGGACAACGTTAAGTCTCCAAAGCACAGGATTTGAGTATATTTTGGAAGTGTTTGATAAGAATAAAGATGTCAAGGTATGTACAGAGTAAAAATAAAAATCCTTTGTATCATTAATGAAATGCTATTGACATTTAAATGATGACGCCGCTAATGATTATTACAAAGAAAACTGATTTATATTAACATCTGGTCTTTTGTTTAAAAGTACACCGGTCTATTACAAGCAATCTTGTCATAACATTTATTGGTTACACTTTACAACAAGGTTCCATTTGATAACATTTTATTAGTTAACATGAACTAATAATGAAAAATAAAGCATTTATTCATCTTTAATTTATTAATCAAAGTTAATGTTAATTTAAACATTTACAAATACTTTATTAAAAATAAAAAATAGTACCTGTTAATATAATTTAACAGTCCTGAGGTGACATAAACTAACAATGAACAGTTGTATTTTTATAAACTAAAATTTACAAAGATTAATAATAAATACTGTAACAAATGCTTTGCTCAACGTAAGTAAATTTGAGCTAATGCATCAACTAATGTTAACTAATGGGACCCTATTGTAAAGTGTAACCCATGTATTTGCACTGTAACAGGAGGTGCAGTTGGGCCTGAAAGAGGGATCGGAAAGTGTTGCCCTTCCCCGTGAACCTGAAACACTTACTTTCACCATACTGAAACATTCACTTGTGGTAAACAGCGTAACAGAGCTTGAAAAGGAAAGTCTGGACTTTTTCTCCATGTGGAAAAAGGGGATGCTACTGACTTTTGGGGGAGTGCCAGGTAAATTTGCGAGGTGGAAGTAAGCAAGAATTTCCGTGCTGAAGTACACCTCCATTCGCCAATATCCTTTATATTCTGTGTTAAATTCTGTATGTTTCACTTGTTTCTGTCAAGTAGACAATTTTTTTTTTGTATTAAACAAATCCTTCTACTTCACATTGAAGCAGAGGATTTCATTTAGTTAATTCACTGAACCCTTTTTTTTTGTCTTTTGTCTTTTCAGGCGACAGCGAGAAGGCAAAAAGTACACATGACCTGCGTGGGTGTCTGGAGAAAATCCTTGTCCAAGGCCAGGTCATTGATCTTGATCGGGCATTGTACAAACACACAGCGGTGTCATCTCACAGCTGTCCTACAGAAGCAATGAATGAACTCACTTAATAGAGATACAAGGCATTCATCCTGGCAGGCTAAACTCTAAGATTACCTTCATGTTCCACACATCTTATATCTGTCATAGGTAGGCCTATTTAAAAATGCTCAATGTTCAGTTGACCAAAAACCTCTAAAAATGTACTGAAGGGCTGTTATGTTATAGTGGTATTAAACAAATCCTTCTACTTCACATTGAAGCAGAGGATTTCATTTAGTTAATTCACTGAACCCTTTTTTTTGTGTCTTTTGTCTTTTCAGGCGACAGCGAGAAGGCAAAAAGTACACATGACCTGCGTGGGTGTCTGGAGAAAATCCTTGTCCAAGGCCAGGTCATTGATCTTGATCGGGCATTGTACAAACACACAGCGGTGTCATCTCACAGCTGTCCTACAGAAGCAATGAATGAACTCACTTAATAGAGATACAAGGCATTCATCCTGGCAGGCTAAACTCTAAGATTACCTTCATGTTCCACACATCTTATATCTGTCATAGGTAGGCCTATTTAAAAATGCTCAATGTTCAGTTGACCAAAAACCTCTAAAAATGTACTGAAGGGCTGTTATGTTATAGTGAGCAATAAAATACATTTGAAATGCAATGGTACATTTTTCCAGTACATTAATGATTGTAAAAGGTAAATTCCTTTGAACTCTGTTTACAAATGCATCTAAAAGGGAATGTTTTTCAATGAAAATCTTTTAGTCAATAAAATAAATCAAGATCAATAAAACATTTGTTGTTTCATTAATGTATCATTCCATGAAGTAAAAACAAAAAATGTGCAGGTTATGTAAAACAAACACACAATTCATAATTAATATTAATTCATTATGGGTTAGTCTGATAATCAACCCTAACTCTTTTTCAGCCCAACTTTGGTTTGTCTACATTACAAATATAGTGAATCCAAAATACACCTAGTATAATCAATCAATCAATCAATCAATCAATCAATCAATCAATCAAAAAAAAAAAAGTGTGTGTGTGTGTGTGTGTGTGCATTCCGATGGCGAAATTGTTGTGGTAGAACTGATGCACCACTGTAGGTCATATACTTGAAAAATGTATTTAAATTATTCATTTTTTATGTTATTGTTCATAGTTATCACAGTTAAACATCATATCATCAGAAGTTCATATTTTAAGACTTTTAAGTTTATGACAACAAGAAAACAAAATCTATAAATAAATGAAATTTGACAGAGCAAAATCAGGAAAATAGAATTATGAATGTATTTTAAATAGTTTTAAACATCTTTATATACCAATAAATCAACCCCTGGAACACAGGAATTGTATTTATTTATTTAAAATAGACATTTTAAACACGATCTTTATGCAACAAAAACGCATAAATAAATAAATAAATAAATAACTCCCGGAACACTACAAGTCAAGTTCATCTAATGTTTTTGGCTACATGAGCTTCATATATCAGTTATGTAGGTTTCTCTGCAATCCACTGCCATCTAGAGGACTTTTTAGTATAGCTCCCACAAATTAAAAACTGGGTTATTTTTTCGGTTTCTCTGCAATCCACTGCCATCTAGAGGACTTTTTAGTATAGCTCCCACAAATTAAATCATATCAGTAATAGATTAATCAGGTTTGTGTTTAAATGACTTTCATTAGGGGAATAAACTCTGTTTTAAATAATTCCCAAGTATAGTTATTGATAGAATTGTTAAAGTCATCATATACTTGAGTTCTTCGTGTGAGTGTTGCTTAATTCATCAGCTTTATTTGTGATGTTGGCGATTAAGTATATATGTGTCTGTATTTATCCACATATTACCTACCTCCAGTACATTTATCCAGTTTTATCGGCTCACGCACGTTTGCTGTATTCTATTTACACGCAAACTGATATTTATTTATGCCAACAAACATACCAAGAGCCAATGGCGAATTGCCCACAAGCGACTCTCCACTGTCGCAAAACGACGCTCGGTGTCGTGCACCGCGCCGCCCGTGCGAAGATGGCGGCTGAGTTGCATCCGCGCAGCGGAAAACTGATCGGTTTGTCGAACTCCAACCGAACCGCTCAACGGAATCAGCCGGTACAGGAATTCAATCACGGCTTGGTCCTCAGTCGGGAGCCGCTGAGGGACCGCGATGTCTTCACTGTCCGCATCGACAAGAAGGTAAACAAGCATGCCCCACCAGAGAGAGAGAGAGAAATCGAGAAAAGGGTGGGAGTGTGTGTCAGCTCGTCTGCAGTGGTTCATTACTGTCAGCTTATTCATAGCTCATGCGTGGTGTTTATGTGTGTGGATGTCTCAGGACGTGCGTGTGCTGCGGGGTTTGCAGTGATCTGTCATGGTCTGTCAGTGCTGTTGATGTTTGGATGCTGGTCTGCTTGGCTATTCCTGGACTGTCATGGGGTTAACGAGATGAATCTCATCTGATCATAACATTCTGCATATACACTGCATATTTTTGGGAATTACCACTATATATGTTCCACTGGAAGCCCATGTAAACATATACACGCACCGTGTGTTGTGCCCTTTGCTACTGAATTTGACTCATTTCAGTGAATCGATTCTTTTGAATTCACTGATTAGTTCAGTGACCCTATCAAGTGACTGTCTTGAGTCAGTCATTCATTCAGTCAGGTGATTCGTTCAAAAACAAGCTGAACAAACAAGCAGAGCATGTTAGAGAGAACAACTGGGAAGGTTGTCCCTTGTGACTAGAGAGGGGGACTGCTCATTTGGGACTGTGGGAGAAGGGGACCCCACAAAAATGTTGTCTCCGGTTCCATGAATTGTAATAGTGGTCCTGAAATGATTCATTATTACATTTTGTGTGTTTACAAATCTAAGATTACAGAAGCGTCAAACACATCTTCCCTACAAATTATAATAAATTAATATTTTTCTTCTTTTTGTCAGTTGACAAAATCATCAGTTGTAGCCTAGATACATAATATAAATTTTTTTATGTAGTAATAATAATAATAATAATGCCTTTTTCAGTTTGTGCATGAACAAGGTATCTTAATTTTGTTTGCAGCTTGTGTTTTCAAAAAGCACTGGCTTCAAAATTCAAGGTTTTCATAATTAATGTTGTAGAACAAAACTTAAAATTTGTTGCCTGTATGCAGATGCTCATTGTCGTAACATGCTGCTTGTTAGCTTCACATCAACCTTGCAGCCAATATACAGTTTAAATCGAACTGTAATATTATCTTACAAGTCTCATAATGATGAAAAGTTTATTCTTTAATGTTCTCAGCTCTCAAATTCTAGTCCGTTTCTTTTCACACATTTGAAGGCTTATAGACAGTTAGCTGATTCATGTAAACGTGTTTAACCTTTCTTACCTAGGCTAGGAAGTCCTATTTTTTATCCCTGTTAATGTATTTCAATGGTTGAGCAGCATTTAGTTCATGTTGGTAGTCTGTAGTGTTGTCTATGGATTTTTAATTAGAAGTTTGACCTTACTGTCTGCTCACGTACCATATGGCTTTACAGCAGGACATCTCTCACACTGCCACTGCCATTTCCATTTGCTCCAGTGTATAAGATATGATTTTAATAGTGAATATAATAAAGCCATGGGTGATTTAATGATCATTCAAGGGAATTATCACTTAATCTGAGGTAAGATATTCAGCTCTTCATTACTTAAAATTAACACTGGGAATGGCTTTGACTACTGGAGTAGGATGATGTTGTTATATATTAAAACTCTGTTTTTTTTCAAATTGGGTCAATGTATAATAATTGAATTTATCATGTGTCATTGAACAGACAGCAAGCATTTCTGAAAGATTTCTGGGAAATTAAGCACTAGCTAATAATACTAGTAAACAAAGAAACACAATGCATCTCATTCACTAAACGTATTTGTTTTCATTTGTGCTTGAAAACGTGCGTACGAGCAAATCATGATTCACCAATAACTTTTGTACTAAATTTATTTTAAATTAACTGAAAAAATGTGGGAACAACCAAAACCACACTTTTGCATGAAGCACGTAGACTGCATCAGAAATCACATAGTTGGTAGATACTTCTTTTGAATAAATAATTAGTTTGTGACCATTAATAAAAGTATGTTCTGTATAGCAAGAATTTAATATGGATGTACTACATTCACCATGTTGTCATTGTCATGTGACAGCTGTTCACAAATCCTCTCCTGTGGCTTCATGGGATTGTAAAGTGTCCATGGAATGCGCATTTCAGAATCTCACCCAAAGTATAGGTCATCTGGGAACTTTTAGCCTACTGCTAAATACTGTAAATTTGGACATACTACTCTTCACATGCTGTTTTTTTTGCCTAGTACCCTATATAGTACAGATGTATGCAATTTTGGATGCAGCCATTAGGGCTGTCAAAAAATAGTTCGAATTTCGAGTATTCGTCGAATTTAAAATAAAAAGCCACAACGTTTTTGCATTCGAATTTTAGGTGTGCGTTAAGGAAGCAGCCTTATCAGTGGCACACGAGATGGGATGATGATGTAAGTGTCATTGCATTATAATGTTTTTGTTAGCCAATCCAGTTGAAGCCACTAGATGTGGCGCTGCTGCATTGTTAATTACAAATATTGTGGGAAATTTTGTCGGCATGAGCTCATCACCAGAGTCCTTAAGGTCCACCACTGATAGAGGGCAGACGGACTCATCTGGCATCTGAAGAAAAATGTCATACTCACCTGAACGCTGCAGAGGAGCGTCAATCCAGGCACCACCCTCTGATGAGCGAACCTTAAAGGAACACTCCACTATTTTTGATAATAGGTTCATTTTCCAACTCCCCTAGAGTTAAACAGTTGAGTTTTACCGTTTTCGGCACTTTTAGCTGTAGCTTAGCATAGATCATTGAATCTGATTAGACCGTTAGCATCTCACTCAAAAATGACCAAGGAGTTTCGATATTTTTCCTATTTAAAACTTGACTCTTCTGTAGTTCCATCATGTACTAAGACCGACGGAAAATGAAAAGTTGCGTTTTTCTAGGCCGTTATGGCTAGGAACTATACTCTCATTCCGGCGTAATAATCAAGGAACTTTGCAGAGTATAGTTCCTAGCCATATCGGCAACTTAATTCATTATAATTGGTTTGTAAACATTTGAAACATTATGCACTTTTTTCACAGATAGTCATTTTATCCTAAATGCTTTGAATAAACGTGCATTGGTCGATGCGCCCTCTTGTGGCCTCAGGAGAGAAGCCAAAAGCTTTTCTTCACCCTAACTGAAATTATGCATTTTAAATTCGAATATAATTCCAATTTTGATAATATTTAAGTACAAAATTCGAATTTTGTTTTTCAGCCATTTTGACAGCCCTAGCAGCCGTGCAATTCAGATGAAATTTTATACATAAACATTTCATCTTAAATCGATTTAATCATATACAGTGAAAAAGCTTGCGTTATAGTTTGAGCTGTGAGAATGAGAGTTTGTAATCTGGGTCGTCTTAAAATGTTTATTGTGTTTGAACTGGTTTTGAGGATGGCACACTTGGCATTGCTTGAGGATCTGCTCTGTGCATGCTGTCAGGCAAGAGCGTTTTTTTAGAGAGTGTCATAAGTCCTGTTAAGGAAAGGCAGTAAGGAAAAAAACCTTTATATGGAGATGATTTGGACGTGTTTTATGTAAGTGACTGACCTTGGGCATATGACATATGATATCATTTATAATACTCCAAATTAAAACAAGTTTAAGAACAAATTCATGTGCCTACAATTGGGTGTTATATATATATATTTTTTTGTGAGAAGTTCTCTCAGAAAAATGTGAAATAATCCATGCAATTACTAGTGAATGTTACCCAATAATCTATTCAAATCAGGGAACTGCAATAGTCCTTCCTTGTTGTCATCATCAGGGAACACTTTATATATATAATATGTATTTATATGCTGATTCTGTACATTTTTGTCATGTTGTTGAACTGACATCATCTTGCATCTCCTACACAAAATTTTGGTTTGAAAATGGATTCAGGAGAGAATATGTTTTAGTCAGATTTGGTCATATGAAATGTAGCCTATGCAATTTTATGATAGTCTGCGTCTAATGTTTAAAAGAAATGACTTTCAGTTTTATGTAGAAATTGAAGCTTGAGGAAGGAAGAGCACAGCAAATCAATATTATTCCTATTGCTCCCTGACATTATTCCAGTTTCCTGTATTTTTTCACTCTTACTGTTTCCTCACTTCTAGACAGAGGGGAAAAAGACAATGAACAGATTACTGGTCACTTATGTAACCAGATTAGAGAAATAACTTTAACACATTCAGTGCCGCTCGTCCCTCTTCTCAGCCTGCATTAACCCAGATACACACATGCAGCCCTGCTTCACGGACAGCCTACACACCATCCACATAAAGACAGTTGAGGAATGCAGCGATGATCCAAAAGCTAGAGACAGCATTTCAGTGAAGGCTGTGATATAGAGATCTGTTTAACTGAAAAATTCGGGGTTTAGCTCAGTTATTGGCACTTGTTGCGTGATGTAATTACCAATGAAAATAATTTCGCTTCGGCCATCGAGGAATGACCATCGAGGAATGGCTTGTAGAGTAATGCACTTGCATTGGAAGTCTGTTGGACAAAGCTATGCCTGAGTAAACAATAAAATATTGTTTTGAAAGTATAGCAAGTAGTTAAAAGACTTTCCTGTTCCTGTTGACTATGTAATGCTCATATGTGCGAGAGTATACCAGAAAGGGAGGTACTCATCCACAAATGACTGTTTACATTGGAGCTAACTCCACTTGCAGGAAGTCCATTGGTGGATGACTAACTAAGTTTGTCTGACTAGAACAGTCCCACCACTAAAAGGATGATTTAGACAGCTTTTATATCTCCTGTAATACAATTCTGGAGATCATTTAATATAATAATTATGTCGCTTTTGTTCTATTTCTGTGTGTTCTTTTGTTTTGGGAGGTGTTTGTGTGTCTCTGTCCAGGAAGAAGACCGATTGGTTCCTGCAGTTTAATTGGTGCCACGCCCTGCCCAGTCAGCTGACTCCTAGCTGCCTATAAAAGCCTCCTTCGTCACTTCCTGCATCAGCCTTGTGCTCACTTGCTGTGTTTGCTCTGCTTGAATCTGCTAGTTAGTTACAGACGTGTTAGTAAGACTGAGAGACTGCCTGTGAGCGATTGATTGTTGTTTGTTAGTTTGCTTGGCTCACTCATTCGTAATACCGACCACCACGTGTTCTTTGACCTTGATTCTCGATTGCTCCTGTTTGGACCTTTTTGCTCACCTTTGTAAATAACTGTACGTAACGTTTTGGGGATTTAGGGAGACTGACACCATTTTTGTTGGAACCTTTTATTGATTGTTTCTGAATAGGGAGGCAGGGAAGTAATTGTATTTTATTTTATTTTGTGAACGAGGGTGGTTAGAGGTATAAGAATTAGGTGATTTTTGTTTATTTTGGCCTTGTCTGCTCCCGAAGCTAAAATTCCCCCAGGTGTACTGTAAACCCATTGTGCTCATTAAAATACTGCTCCTTGTTGTTGTTGTTGTTGTTTTTTAAAACTCTTCCGTGTCGTACTCTTTCATGTTGCATCTTTACCCTAGATGGGGCATAACAAATTAGTATAATTGATATGTAATTAATATGAATTAATAATTCATGTTAGAAATGAAAATAATTTCTTTAACATAACTATATGTTTCACATATTTGCTTTAAATATCTTCTCTATGGACTTCAATTGTGGATTACTATAAACTTTTTTTCTTTCTCTTTTTCTCTGTGGTAATAGTTATACTGAACCTGGAAAATTCTTATACATACACACTACCAATCAAAAAAATTGGAAAGAAGTTTCTTTAAATGCTTGCATTTATCTGATAAAAAATGCAGTAAAAACAGTAATATTGTAAAATTGTATTACAGTTATAAAAAAAACACTTTCTATTTTAATATTTTTCAAATGTAATTTATTGCTGTGGTGGCGAAGCTGAATTTTCAGCAGGCATTACTCCAGGCTTCAGTGTCCCATAATCATTCAGAAATAATTCTAATAATCAATTTTTTAACATTATAGCCTACTTGTCTTTACTGTCACTTTTGATCAATTCAATACTTCAAAAAAAAATCGTACTGAACCCAAACATTGTGTATGCATATATATATATATTATACATTAAATGTAATAACACTATCGAGAGAAGACAGGGGAACTAAGACCGTAATATGTTGCAGGCCTGGCTTGAACTTGTGGAACTCATTTAAGCCCCATGGCTCATCATGCACCATGGTTGTGAGACTTCTGAGATAATTTATAAAGGGATTGACTAACATTTAACTAACTCACATTTCTATTCCCTTTGGTCCAGGTTAACTCGTGGAGCGGTTCTATAGAGATCGGAGTGACTGCGCTGGACCCAGCCGGTCTGGAATTTCCCAGCAGTGCCACAGGGCTGAAGGGGGGCTCGTGGATCGTGTCCGGCTGCTCTGTGCTAAAGGACGGTCGCTCAGTCCTGGAGGAGTACGGTCGCGACCTGGACCAGCTAGGGGAAGGGGACCGTGTGGGGATCCAGCGGAATGGGAAAGGAGAACTGCATCTGTGGGTGAACGGACAGGACTGTGGCACGGCAGCAAGTGGACTTCCTTCTCGTTTGTGGGCCGTGGTGGACCTCTATGGGAAGTGTACCCAAGTGACTGTGGTAAGCTGCGAACCCCCACCTGATGTAGATGGGGAAGAGGATGAAGAGGTGGAGGATGAGGTGGTGTTGACACAAGCGGTGTCCATAATGGCAGATGCTTGCCGTAGCCACGAAGATGGGGCTGGAGCAATCGTGCTGTCTGCAGCTGGTGCTACAACAGCCATAATGAATGGATCAGCAGAGGAAGGTAAAACTAGACCACACTGTATAGTGTGATAGAAAGGATTTCAAGTAGTTGTGTCCAATGCTAACACAACTGTTAACTGATATTTGAAAAGCTTTTGTCCGCAAAAAAAGTGATGTGATGCTTTGAAATGTTCAGAAATATGCATTCTGACTCCCCAAAAGCTTAATGATATTTATTAATTAATAATTCATGACCCTTTTTAAATTTTTTTATTTATTTAGTCATGTATTAGACGCTTTTATCCAAAGCGACTTACAAATGAGGACAACAGAAGCAATCAATTGTAGTATCAAAACAACTAAAAACAGATCCAAAACTAAAAGCTAAAACTTTATAAATACTACCTATACACATTTTAAAAATAAAGAGATTAAATAAAAATGACAAATGCATACAACAAAATTTCAAAACTTAACATTTAAATGAAAAACTAAAAATAAAGCTAAAAACAATTCAAAATATTAAAGAACAAAAGGTATAAGAGTATAATAATGATTCTAACATAACACTAAGCCAAACACCAAAAAAAACAACCACACACACATACACATATATAATTTCATTTCCATTTAGTTTGTTGAAGTATTAAAATAAGTCAAATTAAATAAAACTAAAAACTTAATAAAAGACTTATACAGACATAATAAATTCAGACATAATGTAACTAAAATTAAAATAAATAACAAATACAAATAATACAAATCAAATGACCGTAGTTTATCAGTAATCCTAAAAAATAACACTGCCAAACTTACATGCTAAAAAACAACAACTTACTTACACATAGTAAGAAATGGTTATAAAAACTGAAACGGAAGTGAAACAAGTAGTAGGAAAGAGGAGAAATTCTTTTTAAATCCACAATACTTTTTTTTAATAAGGAAAAATGTATTTAATATTTTAATACTTTTTTGAAAATAATTAATATGTGTACACTCACATGTATTCAAGGTGTAAATAAAATTTGCCATTACAATTTACTTGATGGTTACGCCACATTACATTTTTAGAGTCATTCTATTGGAAACTTTTCTTGAAAGTGCTGAGAATAACATGAATACAAACTGTACATTTCTAAAAAAAAATTAAACTTGATTTTTAAAAGATTTTTGCTTTTCTTTATCATGGCACTCTAATATGTTATTAGCTCAGTTGTAATGAACAAATGTTCTCCGTTTTGTTTTCTTATCAGTGCCTGAGGCATCAAGGACACACAGTCGGCCCGAGCGATAAAAAATCTTACCAATCTTAATTTAGTATAATATCAAGTATTTGAACATAAAAAGTCAAATGTTTTATTTTTCACCCTTGTAAATTGACTGAAGGTTTGCTAATTAAAGTAACTTTGAGTCGTAAAATAATGTATCAAATTCCTTAAAGTACAAACATAATACAACTAATTAATAATGATATGATCCTTAAAATAATTATACAACAATTATACAAAACAAATGAAAAAATATAGTAAAAGAACAATTACTCATGTACTATACACCTCTGATTATATTGCGGCACTTGTCTGTTTCAGATTCGCATTGACAAGCTGGTGGATAAATGGTCTGGTTCCATTGAGATTGGAGTGACAACCCACAACCCAAATAATCTTGACTACCCTGCAACAATGACCAATTTACGTTCAGGTACGTTTTATTATTCTGTCATTGTAATCAAATCAATCCGCAGTTCTCACAGAATCATGGCAATATGCACAGCAGGCACATGTGTCTAAATCTTAGTATTTATCACATTCTTATTGTCTTTAAGGCACAATCATGATGAGTGGCTGTGGGATTTTAACCAATGGGAAGGGGACTCGTCGGGAATACTGTGAATTCAGCCTGGATGAACTCCAGGTAAGTTGGCAGCTGGATCTGTGAGTCTTAAGATTATCTCATGCAGTTTAATACTCAAGGTGATTGCTTTTGTTTATTTATACACAACATACCCATAATGCTTTTTATGTTGTTGTCATTTATAGGAGGGAGATCTCATAGGGCTGATGAGGAAAGCCAGTGGAGCTCTGCACTTCTACATTAATGGCATAGATCAAGGTGGAATTTCAGATCTCGGTGATAATAAATTCACACACAGTTCAGATTATTCTAAAATACTTTTCCGAAATGATGTCATAGGGGTTGCAGCCAATCAGACCCCTGGTGTAGTGTATGGAGTGGTGGATCTCTATGGCATGGCAGTAAAGGTCACCATTGTCCACAATCATAACCATAGTGACCGTTTACGTCGCAACAATGCCATCATGAGGGCGTTGTCACCTGACGTGGGCCGGCCTCGGCCTGCTCTTTCATTGACCCCTGAGCCTGATGTCCCAGACCGCTTGCTCTTCCATCCAAACTGTGGGCAGAAGGCTGCAATCATCAGTGATGGCCGCACTGCTTTACGGCCTCAGTGAGTTCATTTAATCCAAAAATTAATTAACTGATCTCTACCTACTGCATTAATAGGGCCACTGCATCATTTCAGTGGCAGTTGAGTGAAATGTTATTCTCTGGCACAGTGCGACGGATGACTTCAACCACGGCGTTGTGCTTAGCAACCGTCCGTTGCACTCCAATGAGGTTTTCCAGGTACGCATCGACAAAATGGTGGACAAATGGGCGGGCTCTATAGAGATTGGCGTGACTACTCATAACCCCGCCTATCTTCAGCTACCATCAACCATGACTAATCTGCGCTCAGGTAAGATGCTGACACACAGTTACACCCACAGGTCACAATTGAAAGCACAGCTGACTGATTAAAGTGTCTGTGAGTCAAGGCCACATTGCCTATAGCATCAAATGTAAAATGCATGAGTGTTGGCAGATAGCTAATCTAATGCACCGATATCTCCACAGGAACCTGGATGATGACAGGAAATGGTGTCATGCACAACGGTACTACAATTCTTGATGAATACGGGCACAACTTGGACCGCCTAAAAGTGAGTTTGCAGCCCTGCTCAAACTTTTTACTTCTATTTTCAATCTTCTTAAGAAAGTGTCATTCCAAATCAGTATTGTGAATAGAAAAGAAGAATTTTGGAAAAACCTTCAAACTGCTTTTTAGACAACACGTTCCTAGTGACCATTAGGGCTGGGCAAAAAAATCGAATGCGATTTTCATGCGAATCTCGTCAGTAAAGCCGCTTCTGGTGACTAGTAGTAAATCTCCAGCACGTGCTTTCAGATGGAGCGGCATTTACTACATAGAGCCATAGATCACTGACAAGCTACACAAAATCTCGTTCAGAATCGCAGGTGATTCATTGCCGATTTTGTGTAGCTTGTCAGTGAACTACGGCTCTGTGTAGTAAATGCTGCTCCATCTGAAAGCATGTGCTGGAGATTTACTACTAATCACCAGAAGCGGCTTTACTGACGAGATGCGCATGAAAATCGCATTAGATTTTTTGCACAGCCCTAGTGACCACTAGTGATGCACTGAAATTTTGGCAACTGAAAACATTTGGCTGAAACAGTTGTGACTGTCAAAGTGTATTTTATGTACACAACATGGATAAGCAACAGCCAGTAAACATGCCAGCAGTGTGGATGCACTTACTAAATTACCCAAATTTAATTACAATTTTCAGATTAATGAAAACTTCGGTTTTGGTTTTAATAAAAAATGATTCACTAGTGACCACATCTG